ACTTCCTGGACCGCGCGTGTGCCTGCTCGCCATTGGTCCGCGCCGGCGTATTTACTCAAGCGGGCCGGCGTCCAATCGGTGGCCGGCCGAGACAATGGCGTGCGTGTGTCAACACCCCCGGGGGGCCGGCGGACGGGCCCCCGTGTCTTTCTGTCCTAAGTGTAGCCATCGCCCGCTCACGTCCAGTTCCTGATCAAATCCAGCAACAAACAAAATGAGTTTTTGTTTTGCTAGCATAGCCCTGCGGCCTCTGAGCTGCGTCTCGGTCACGGTCGGACTCGCGACCCTCACCTCGCAGCCTTTGTCGGCTCCAAGGTACAAAGAGGCCTCGCCGACCTTGTATCCGCGTCGTCGTCACACGTCCCCTTGGCGACCCGCCTGCGCCAAGAAGCCGTCATCCAACGCGGCGAAGTGAGCTAGCACCTGTCGGCGTCCAATCAGGCCCAGGATTTTACGGCTGCGTTTGTTCGGCAGGTGGCCACGTGCTGCAGATAATTGCTGCGCTGTTACGTCAACAACAACAACAAAAGAGAGAGAGAGAAGCAAGCACAGTGACGGTTGTGGCCATGCAAATGTTTGGAGGGCGGGACCAGGGGAGCTGCAGTTGGGGCCCCCGGGCTTGATGACACTGGGGCCAATCAGGGGACACGGCAGTAAAACGCAACCTGAAAGATGCCTTCTGCTTTTTTTTTTTTTTTTTTGAAACTCATCAATCATCTTCTCATGTCAACATGTTCTTTTTCCGTGCAGGGTGTTTGAGAAGATGGCAAGTGAACTTCCTGCCTGCGATGACTTGAGCTGATTACACTTGAGATGTTTGCTCGTCTTTTAAATCCACTTTTCAATCGGGTCCAAGAATCTGAGTGCACACGAGCGGCCATTCCGATTGAATTCAACTTTATTTGTCGGTGCAACTTTGGTCTGTGAGCTTGTTTTGTTTTTTTCCATGTGTCTTTCCATGTGAGGTTTTTATCGCAATCTTTTCACTTTCCATATCTCCTAATTTTGCCTTTTTTCTTTTCCTCCCGCTAGTTGTGAGGTTACTTTTGAATCGACGAAGTCACAACTAATTGAATGCAAATGAGCCGGATGGTATTTAAATCAACTGGATAACATCAGACGTGCTACTTTGGTGTTCCTACATCCGAGGACGCATTCAATGCATCTTTTTTTTTGTTTGTTTTTTTTTCCTCCAGAGGATATTTGAGAGAGGATTTACATTTCAGTCGCCATCGGGCGGTGCACAAAATGGCTGGCGAGCAGATCGGATGCGAGCCTCCTTTCATGGAAGGCCCTGCGAGCTGCATCGATTCAATCTTAAGTCTCGTTTTTGCCATCAAATGCCGGCTTCTCCTCAATGCGGCGAGCCCGCGCGCTCGCTCGCTTCCGAGGGTTTAGGCTCGTCATCGGCGAGGCCGTCCAAGAAGCCTCGGGGGCACGTCGCTAAAAGAGATAATTATCTTTTATCTTCCGTGTTGCGGCGGCAGATTACGGTTGACATTTACGATTGTTACCGAGACAATGCTACGCCACACGCCGCTTCGTCTTGTTTTTTTTTTTTTATCTTTACGAGCCTCCCGAAACAAGTGAGGGAACTCCCACCGTGCGTGTGGCGGCGCTTCAGCCTTGAGGTCTTTTCCCAAACGAAGATAAAGAAGAAAAAAAAAATGTAATCCCGTGAATTATCTTTCATCTCAGCCATCGTGAGTCACTCGACATCTTCGTCTTGCGCTCGGTGTGCGTGTCAGCGCGCGGCAGGGGAACGGGACTCGGGTCCTGCTGGTCTTTTTTTGGCCCACTTGTGTCCAAGTGGATTTGTGTCCAGGTGTATTAGTAGTACTGTAGTAGAACCCGGCCGGACTTCAACCTTGCCTTGGGATTCGAACCTTCCTTCGGGACTAGACTTTGCTCTCCTCCCAATATTCTGTGACGACACCCAACCGCCCTCTGGACTCGAGACTAAATCTTTCTCTTGGAAGCAGAACCTTCTCTGAGGATGAGAAGCTTTTCTCAGGAGTAGGATCTGTTCTTGAGTCTCGCACTTTCTCCATGGACTAAAACCTGCCCTTGGGACCGAAACCTGCTAACGGGACTAAACTTTCTCCTCCCACCCACAAAACCGGTACCTCTGGGGACTACGACCTTCACTCCGAACGAAAAAAAAAAAGAAAAAAAAAGAAAAAGAACGAACCTAGCGGGATCACACGGAGTTGAAGCGGCAGGCGGTCGGGGTCGGACGAAGGCCACGGGGTCCCAGCGTGGGGCAAATCTCCCTTTCAAATCCCTCGAGACGATCCCCATGGCCGTTCCCATCCTCCCCTTGAACCGGCTGCTCCAAACAGCGGCGGATCTCCTCGTCGGTCACGCGGATCCCGGACGAATGATGCCGAAGAGCCCGGCGGCCTGCCTTATTCCTTTCTATGTGCTCTGCGAGCGAGCGGAGACCGGTCCGGGGCGTGCTCTCTTCCTTTCAAAAGGCGGGTGAGCTTCTTCGACAGCGGCCTGGGGACCGATTGCGCACGCCCATCGTTTGTCTCCCAAGTCTCTCTGGGATTTGCCGTCAACCTCTCCGGGATCGACCCCTCCCTCACCCAAGGCCAAGCACGCACGGTCTGCAGAGTCCGGCTCCGCCGCCATCCCGGGGGGGGGGGCGCGG